GGTATATAGTATTCCCTATGTCCCAAAATATAAGATTTCCTACTTCAAAGTGCACGGATTAAGAAAGAATGCAAACAGCCAGTTTCATATCTTTTCCTTCTTGTTTTCTTAAATCCAATTCAATAACTATCATAAATTTACTTAGAAATTTGAGAAAATCTTATAATATGAAACAAAATAAAAAAATCTAAAACATTTTATATTTTGGGATAGATGGAGTAATTATTTTGTAACCCTAATAATTAGGTAGTTGAAGAGACAAGACCAGAGAAGAAACTCACGAAAGTAGGCGTTTGTGTTTTGTGTCGGCATGTGATTAATTAGGAGAACGAACAGAAGCTGTTGCTGTTGAACCCACTTCTGTCTACAAACTTCTCTCTTTCTTCTCCCTCTTCCTAAATTAAGCAACACATGATGAGTATCTATTAATGTTTAACTGATTCATCTCAATCTTGGTTCTCCTTTAATATATTATATCTTGAAATAATCAACTTTATAAAAAGGAGAAACCTGAAGCTGTACCTGTGTGGGTACTATAGAATCATCCAAAAGAGAAGGAAAGATAGGATTAGTTGTTGGCATTGCATTGCTAAAAGACGTTCCTACTTCTGTGGATCCCATCTGCTCATCGAGAAGATACTTAATTGCGGTGATCATACTTAAACCGGATTATCGTTAATCGGATTAAGTGATTAGTAAGAGATGAAGTACCTTGGATTGGATGAGGCCATCAAGGTCCACTGGACTAATAGAAGCTAGCTTCATGGAGAGAAACTAATAAGAAGGAAAATATTTTAAATTATATACGTAATTTTGACATAAAATGTTATACGAATAAGAAATTCACCTCAACTTGATACTGCAAGGACTGGACATAGTTTATAATCTCATCCAACATGAGGGCCTTCCCTGTTACCTATTAATTCGTTTTAAAACACCTTTGATTTATTAAAATAATTTTAGAAATTAAAAATATATAATAAAATCATTTAATTTCCTAATAAAAAAATAAGTCTCTAAATATAATAACCTTATCACAGCCCGGAACAAGGTTTTGCAGAATCCTCATCCGCTCACTTATCTTTTCCCTTCTCACCTAAATTCATATAACCAAATATAGTCTATAAA